TGTCACTAGTCACCACCTCACTGTGTCACTAGTCACCCCCTCACTGTGTCACTAGTCACCCCCTCACTGTGTCACTAGTCACCCCTCACTGTGTCACTAGTCACCCTCTCCTCCCTGTGTCACCCCTCCCTCACTGTGCCACTAGTCACCCTCCCGCACTGTGTCACTAGTCACCCCCTCACCGTCAATAGTCACCCCACTGTGTCACTTCAGTCACTCTCACTGTCACTAGTCACCACTCTCACTGTGTCGCTAGTCACCACTTTCACTGTCAAATACCCCCACTGCTACCAGTCACCTCCCACTGCCACTACCCCTTACTGTCACTAGTCACCCTCACTGTCACTAACCTCTCACCGTCACTTGTAGTCACCCCCACCGTGCGTCACTAGTCACCTCTACTGTCACTAGTCGCCACTGTCACTATAGTCACTCTCTCATTGTCACTTTTAGTCACTCGGCACTAGTCACCCCCCTCACTGCCACCCCTCCCTCACTCTGTCACTAGTCACCCATTCCCTCCCTCTGTCACTAATCACCCCCTCACTCTGTCACTAGTCACCCTCTCCCTCACTCTGTCACCTTCTCCCTCTGTCACTGGTCACTCACTCCCTCCCTCTGTCACCAGTCATCCCCTCACTCTGTCACTAGTCACCCCTTCCTTCCCTCACTCTGCCACTAGTCACCCCTTCCCTCACTCTGTCACCAGTCACCCCTTCCTTCACAGTGACAGAGTTAGGGAGGGAGTGACTAGTGACAGAGAGAGGGATGGGGTGACTAGTGACAGAGTGTGGAAGGGGGTGACTAGGGACAGAGGGTGTGATTAGTGACAGAGTGAGGGAAGGGGTGGCTAGGGACAGAGGGAGGGGGTGACACAGTGACAAAGGGAGGGGGTGACTAGTGACAGAGTGAGGGAGCGGGTGACACGGTGACAGTTAGGGAGGGAGTGACTAGTGACAGAGAGAGTGATGGGGTGACTAGTGACAGTCACCCCCTCCCTCACTCTGTCACTACCTCCCTGTGTCACTAGTCACTCCCTCCCTCTGTCACCAGTCATCCTCTCACTCTGTCACTAGTCACCCCTTCCCTCCCTAACTTTGCCACTAGTCATCTTTTCCCTCCCTCACTCTGCCACTAGTCACCCATTCCCTAACTCTGTCACTAGTCACCCCCTCTCCCTCCCTCTGTCACTACTCACCCACTCCCTCACTCTGTCAACAGTCACCCCCACTCACTGTGTCTCCCCCTCCCTCTGCCACCACTCAACCCCTCCCTCCCTCTGCCACCAGGTACCCCCTCACTCTGCCACCTGTCACAACCTCCCACACTGTTCCACCTGTCACCTTCTCCCTCACACACTCTGTCACCTGTCACATATGCATTCACACAGACACTATATACAAAAAAGCACATGTAGTCATCCAGACATGCGCAAGTGCATTCACACAGACTCAAATACAAACATGCATTGATACACAGGTCTTCACAATATACACATCCAAAGGAATGCCGTATTATGAGTTATATTTAACATTTATTTAATGCACATATATTTGGCCTTCAAAGGGCCTGGGATCTAATTTTGCCCGGGGGCCCCAAAGGCTCTCAGTCCGCCTCTGCCCCTATATACTTATAAACCATTAATAGGGAACATGTGATGGGCGGCAGCATTGTAACATAGCTGTGTGATACAAAAAGTGATTACAAATACAAAAAAACAAGTCCTGCGCTCACTCCCATCACTACTGGGCAGCAGCAATGACAACGACCACAGTACACATCAGCCCCAATACATACAGTAAAAACCAAAGAAAAAGTTACCCGTGCTCTCTCCTAAATCCCTATGTATATGTAAACAAATGGAGGTCATTTAGTTATATACACCCCTATATACTTATCAACCTTTATTGGAACGTTTTCTTTGGTTTTTACTGTATGTATTGGGGCTGATGTGTACTGTGGTCATTGCTGCCGACCAGGAGTGATGGGAGTGAGCGCAGGTTTTTTTTTTTATTGTATTTGTACTCACTTTTTGTATCACACAGCTATGTTACAATGCTGCCGCCCATCCCATATGTTCCCTATTAAGGGTTAATAAGTATATAGGGGTGTATATATATATATATATATATATATATATAAATAAAAAATACCCCTCTCTGTCTTATTAGGGATATCTTTGCCAGACGCTCAAGGAAGCAGGCTGTAGGGTCAGTGTAGGACCCGCTTTAGGACCCTTGGCAGGCGGGCATTCCCTCCAATGGCCATTGGAGTAACTAAATGACCTCCATTTGTTTAAATATACATAGGGATTTAGGAGAGAGCGCAGGTAAAGTTTTCATAGTTTTTTTACTGTATGTATTGGGACTGATGTGTACTGTGGTCATTGCTGCCACCAGGAGTGATAGGAGTGAGCGCAGGGCTTTTCTTTTTGTATTTGAGCTTGGATAACATGTCAAACTTAAAAGAACATATTGCACACTTGGCATGTACTGTCAGTTTAAGTCTCACTTGTTGTTTTATTTTGCTTGATTCCCCCCTCCCCCCCTTCTGTTATTAGCAGCGAAGACCCTGTCTGTGAAATGTGCCTGATCCCAACAGTGTAACTGTAAGCATATCTCACTATGTGTTCCTCGAATACTGACCAACCCACTGAATGCCCCATCAACATACGGCATGTTAATGAAGCTTTCTATTGTTTAGGTCTGTTCGTTGCCTCCTGTCAGAATAGGTATTTATTTGGTTGGAGGATATCGGTAAACGTGAAGCAAGGATTCCCGATATGTGAGATTGGCGGAGTGTCTGCGGTGTCTCCCAGACTGCCCGTTACAGTCTATGGGCAATGCAGCCTGCCATTCATTGTTAGCAGGTCCCCCGTGGCTGCACAGGGAGCGCACTATCACAGTGGCCACTGTCAGCCGCCTCCCATCACCCAGCCCTGCAGCGGGCAGCTCTCACTGACTTCCTGGACTGGCAGAACACACGTGCATCCTGCAGCACTGCCGCACCCTTATGACGTCGCAATGCGACCATCGGGACTTCGCTTCTTAGCTATTCCTCCGGCCACGCCCCCATAGAAAATATAAACCACGCCCCTTCGTGGCAGACATTGAAACCCCGCCCCTTGTCTCGCAGCGCCAGGTGAACAGGCCCCGCCCTCTTCCAGTCCTGAATCGCCCCCTGTCCTCTGATTGGATGGAGGAGCCCAGCAGCAGTGTGTGTGCGGGAAGGACCCCGCCCCCTCCCCCTCCAGAGTCCAGCCCAGCGAGTAAAGCCAGGCTTACCCCCAGCTGCAGCCACTGGGGCCACTGACACCAAGCAGGGCGAGCTGCACAGTGCCGAGTGTACCATGTCCCTGTAACACCTCCCATGCCCTCTGTATACCCGGCTCTGTACCCAGTGACCATACACCTGGAGTGACACTGACTGGCTGCCAGCAGGTTAACCTAGAGTGAAGGAACCCCCAGGAGATCGCCATGTTTGATAAAACCAGAATCCCCTTTGTGGTGTTGGATATTGTCTGTGTGATATTGGGTAAGTAGCCCTGTGTGTGTTACCAGCATGCAGCCACCTACCTGCTCCTGGGCTGATTTGCCCACCTCCTGCCTTCCCCTGGCATGCCCCTTCTGTCAGGTCTCTAACACACCTGGTGCTGTATCCCTGCATGCTCTGCCTTCCACTTTATTTAACTTGGGATCCACATTCTAAATCTAGAACGCTGGGTGAGATCTTCCTTTCACTGCTGCCAATTCATAGAAAAAAAATATCAAGTACTGTATTCGGTATTCTTGCTGCATGTTTAAATATCTGAGTGCAAGAGGAATGAGAGAGAGAGGCTCAAATGGTTAAAGACCACACAGAACATTTCAGATCATATATCACATTACTATCTGCACTCTAGAATGTCTGCAGTGGTGACATTCTGCTGGTGGCAAACTGCTCACTGATCTTAAAACATTGTGTCATAACATTCTTCTTTACTCATAAAGTGCAAATGTTTTGAAATAGTTTATGTAGTGTGGGAGAGCGATTAGATTCGATTTTGTAAAAAGGTTTATAGGAAAGTGATGATATGAAATGTAATAACTTTGTGAGTACCAGAGCTGTACACAGACTATAGAGAGTACAGTGCTGTGCACATGTTGGCCATTGAGAGAGTGAGTTCCCAAATATGGTTCTTGGCATTTTAGTATCTGTGTTTGTGGGTATCTGAGATTGCTTCCCTGAATTGTTGGCCTTTTTCTTTTCTATTGGAAGCACAGACACAGGTTCAATAATAATATATATATATTTTTATTTATGAAGAACAGTTGTGAAGCAAAGTACAAGAGTGGAGCTATCACCATGGAAACGAGTTACCTATTCTTGCTGATTATTTCCCATTAAGACAAAAAATCACTTTGGAGTATATAGTCATTTTCCTGTCTTTATGCCTAGCTTGGCACCACATTCAAATGATCTCTGAATCAACAGCTATGTGTTAATATATATTGCTCGAATGACAAGAGACTTATTTACTGAGGAAAAGAGCATAGCAGCATTGCTCATTTTTGGAATAAACCATAGCCTGCGGCTTTGATGAATAAATTCTGATGGCTATTAGGCAGAAACTTTTTTTTTTTTTATTATTATTTTATTTTTTTTAAATAACCCTTAATGGGGGTTTTGTACAAAAAGTGTTGTGCTCAATTTTTGGCTCCATATGTAGTGCTTTTCATATTTGCGTCTCTTTATTCCCTTCTTTGGTCAAAGTATTCTCTTCTGAGACTATTTTTTACTGTTCCATTTTGGTTCTTTTTTTTAAAAAAAAAAAAAAAAAAAAAAAAAAAGAGGAATAAAAAGTGTCAGAAAGATACTTAATTGCCTTTCACATTACAGAAAAGCAGTTTTAACATTTAATTTCTAAAATTGTGCATGTTCTGAAAACTAGGGCTAATGTGGAAGTGTGCGCTACACTTTTTAGACGCACCCCTCTATGTGTTAGGTGACCACCTATTCTTCCTCTGTGCTGTTTAGTGTGGAATAAAATGTGAAATGATGTCTAAGCTATACTTAAACTTATACATGCAGGGATGGTAGGAGTTTTTACTAGCACAGTGCCAAAAAATTCTTGTCAAGATTAGGGGGTTGGTGGACTATTCCTATCTAGAGTATGGGCTGGAGGACATTTGCTAGCAAGGGTTGGAACTTTCTCTGTGAGCCGCTTAATTTCTCTACTTCCATAAACTGGTTTTAACTAAATTGGAAATGTATTCAAAAAGTTTTTGTAGGTGTATTTTCAACCCTCTAGTGCCAAATAGATGCCTGGTTCTTTGTTACAACAATTGGAACAACATTGGTTACACTATCTTCCCTATTTGTGTTACAATTGTGCTATTATTGAAAACTTTGATATCTCTCCATACTCATGTTGGCTATTTCTATTCATTCTTTACATTCTGTGTAACTATGTGTTAGACTACAATCTCCTAAATTAATCAACACATTCCTTTTCTAGTCTGTTGCCCCAGCAACAAAGTAAAAGTAGCTGCAGGTACAAAAATAATTCCATCAACAAACTCATTCTTAATCTTCACTTAAATATTCATTATAAAAATATTCATCTTTTCCCTTCAGCAGTCCAAATGAAATTGAATAATGTAGGTCACTCCCAATCTCACTGTTAGTATAATGACTATTCCAGTATAATTGAAGGCGCATAAAACTTTGACGAGCATTGTTTAAATACGTGTTTGATGGTTGGTCTCTTGTTGCCCAAAGAAGAACTAATTGTGCAGGATGGCTCCCCATCCCCGAAGGTATTGGAGGAAAAATGCCCGTATTGGAGTAATAAGCTGATAGAAATTAAAGTGTGCTTGACACACTGGTATTTTGTGGGTATTCAGAGCAGTTTCATATAAAGCTGAATATGGGCTACTTACTTAAGCTAGTCCAGATGCTTTGTCTGTATCTCCTATTATGCTAATTCAGCTCTATTTTCGAGGAGAGCATTGTGGGAGATGTAGTCTGTAGTAACTTAAAAACTGCAGTCTGACTACCCCAACATAAATTATGTGTCCAGGTTCCTTTTAGTTTTGTATATGGTTTGTTTTTTAGTGTCCCACTATTTTTGTTTTTGTGTATGGAATTTTCTTATTCTTTGCACATGTATTTATTCAAACTGCTCTGTGCGTTAATTTATTTACAATTAAACTAGTATATTATTTATATAGCGCCAGCAAATTCCGTAGCGCTGTACAATGGGTGGACTAACAGACGCGTAATTGTAACCAGACAAATGGACGCAAGGAACAGTGGGGTTGAGGGCCCAGCTCAATGAACTATAGGGGACATGTTTTCATCGATTTTCCTTGGAGTACTTATGAGCGCGGTACTTTTCACATTTAGATCAAATATGAGATTGTTGTTTTAATCCTCTACATCGTTAATTGCCTTAATAATTTGTGTTGCACTATACATGTAGAACATGAAAGAAGGCAGTTCCATGTGTGAGTCCTTTTAAAGACAGAAAGATGTAAAAATAATAATTCCTGTATATTGCCTGTGTTCCAAATTGACAGCTTAGCTACGCATTTCTTAAACATGTTGTTGTTTACTGTTTCTATATAAAGCTGAATTTAGTGTCTGTTAAAACAATACTTTCTAAAGTTTGTCCATTCTGGAAGTACAGAACCATGGTTTCTGTGACAAACCAGACAGTTATATCTATTATTTTACGTTTTGTTTTGTTGTTCTTATAATATTTCTCTAATGCTTTGGGATTTATTCAATAAGCACAGATTGTATTGAATTGAAAACTGAATTGCAAATTTTAGGCCAAAATAGCTGATCTGGATATATTCTCCAACTTGGCTCCAGTAGCAGGTCAGCTATTTTAGCCTAGATTCTGCCATTGGGTTTTAAGTACATATATACATTTTGGTGTTTAGTTAATAACCATCTTAAAGGGTATCTGCAAGCACACTGACCAATTCATTAATTTGAAGTGGTCATGGTGCCTTGAGTTTGTATGTGCCGCATTTCGCTTTCAAACTGTAACTCCACCAGCGTCACTGGGATGTCATCAGTCAGCCCGAAACTAGAGTTCCAGGTTGGTTAATGTCAATTCCGTGCAATTTTTTTCCTTTACCGAACGGTTTGCTCTGTTATCGGGAAACTGGGCTGTTACTCCAGTACATAGCTTGTTAAAGCAAAGAGTGGCAGTGTATGCGAATATAAGTTACCATACGCAAATACTTGAGGTATATTGTTTAAAACCGCAAACTCTCTCTGGCAAGTAAAGAGTTGCTCAAATGCAGTACCTAGATTAAATTACAGACCGAAAGGTCTTTCCAAATTTTACAGGTCTTTTCAAGTGCAGAGGCTGGAGGTTTGTACACTATAATTAAATCTATAAACGGCATGTATCGAGGTAATGCTGCTGCATCAAGCTGCACTCTTTCCGGGCTCTGAACCTAAATTTTTACTGGACAGAGTCTTTAACCATGTGTGTGCAGGGATGCAAAGTGTGAGCATATTCTGGACACAGCAAATCCAGTGTAAATACCAGTCCCCAACAAACCACTGTCTCCATGTACTTCAGTCTTAGTCTGGGAGCTTCTAGGGGCATATACAGTAAAACTAGTGTGAATGTTGCTCTCAGGACATTTGCTGTCCCAAATTTTTTTATTTTTTTTCTCTCCATAAGGTCATACCAGGTTGGCCAAAAATTGTTTACAAATCACTATTGATGCCATTTTATAATCACATGTGCTAGACATGAAATAGCTTGATGATTTTCCTATTCAACAAAAAAATCTTATCCTAATAGCTGAACACAAAGGCCTGCATTGTTTGCTAATCCGTTTTTTTTTTCTCTCTCGTGTTTATTATTATTAAAAATAAATGTATTTGTTAAAACACCACAACTGACATATCCACTCTAACCTAGTAACCTGAAATGTAATTTGTACATCTCCTTTGCTTGACAGATTGAGCAAAAAATAGCCCAGGAACATGTTAAGAATCTTTTTCGTAGCTGTGGCAACAAAAACATCCAATCTGTCAAAGTCCTCTGTCACATGGCT